TGCAAGGGGTCAAAAGGAAATTGAGGTGTGTACCACTAGTACTGAGGTGCATGATTTCTCCTATGCAACAGGGATGGTGTCCAAGAGGCTCTAGATCAGGGGTGGCCAACCTGTGGTTCCGGAGCCACATGCGGCTCTTCAGAAGTTAATATGCGGCTCCTTGTATAAGCACCGACTCCAGGGCTGGAGCTAAAGGCACCAACTTTCCAATGTGCCAGGGGGTGTTCACTGTTCAACCCCTGGCTCTGCCATAGGCCCTGCCCCCACTCCACCCCTTTCTGAGCCTGCCATGTCCTCGCTCTCCCCCCTCCCGAGCCTCCTGCATGCCACGAAACAGCTGATCAGGAGGTGTGGGGAGGGAGGGGGAGGCGCTGATCGGCGGGGCTGCAGGTGGGCAGGAGGCGCTTGGGGGGGGGGAAGCTGATGGGGGGCTGCTGATGTATTACTGTGGATCTCTGGCAATGTACATTGGTAAATTCTGGCTCCTTCTCAGGCTCAGGTTGGCCACCCCTGCTCTAGATCCTCTGTCTGGACTAATCCCATGACCCAATGGGAGTGGACATGCTCTCCCACTAACACATGACTTGCCAGAGAAAAAGGCAGCTTCTGACTCCAAGGGCAATGCTGTCAGTACCAAGGGCATTGTTATGCCCCAGCTAGTAGAGGTTATCAGTGAGCAACTCACTCTTGCTTGTATGCATTAGATAAATAGTATGGGGACTTCCCTTGTCATGATCAGCTTTGACAGGACTGGGGATTCTGGGTCCAAAAGGATAGCAATGCCCTTAGGGATGATGTAACTATCCCCAGATGGAAGGGGATGGAAAGGACGTCTTTCTTTCCACAGGACTGGCAGTGTTGGCCTTGTGCCTGTCTTACTATGGTGTAATGGTACCATTGATGTAGGAGGCATCCACTTCTGTTTCTCTCTTACTGGTACCAAGGATGGTCCTGCTCCTGCAGATAGTGAAGTTTCAGGCGCTCTTGCTCTTCAGAACTGGGAGACTTGTACCATGTTCCTTGTGCACTCCTGACATGTCTGCACCAGGGTGAGGAGTCTCATCCAACATGCAAGAAGGCAGAGAAGAGGCCCTCTTCTTGGATGAGGACCTGGAGGGGGATTTCTCTCATTTCTTATGAAAGTGTTTCCTCTCTCTCATGCCACTGTTTGGAGAAGTCCTTACTTCTGCTCCCACTGGCCTCAGAGTCGGATATCACCATGCTTGCAGGTGTGCTTCTCGGTGCTTCTGCCCCATGTACAGGAGCATATGCCAGGCCAGAGTTGGAACCATATAGTACAATTCATCAAGAATTTCCAAAGCCTATACTCATGGGCTTGACAGGCTCAGTTTGGGAAGGCTTGACTAATAGTGCATTTCAAGGGGATGTGAGCTTCTCTGAGGCACCTGATGTGGTCGTCACTGACTGGGAAGGCCAGAAGGCAGGAAACGCAGTTCTTAAACCCTGGGATCTTGGACATACTAGTCATCCCATATGAGCCTGGCCAGGGGCATATCGGGGGAGAACCCCAAGATCCTATTTACTAAAAACTATGCTTATTTAACTATAAAAACTATCTAAAAAACTATTTAGAAATATTTACAGTTCAACACAGAAGAAGCTAGCAAACACTGCAGATCCTGAAGAGGTTCTACCTCAGACCATGGGCTGTAGAAAAGAACTGAAGAGGCAGTCGGTGTAGGCCACCCCTTCTACTTTCTGTTTGGCGCATGAGCGGTGCAGGCACGGACCAACATAAACTACCAGCAAGAATCTTCCAGTTTCTGGCATGTGGAACGCATGTGCACCCACAGTGGAATTCACATAGGGACCATCAATCAAAAAAAGAATTGCTGTTAGATGTGCTGGGAGGGGAAGGAAAGCAGGAAGTGCCAAAAAGGGTGGAGGAAAATGGCAAGGAAAACTGTGGGGTTTATTTATTATTTTCAAACCTCAGAAGTAGATTAGAAGCCTAGGGGAAAAAAATGAAAGCCACAGTCCTGCCTCGAAAGAGCTTACACTCTACAGGATACTACATGAGAAGGTCATGAACAGACAAAAAAGCGGGGGAGGAAAAGTGATAGAGGGGACAAGAGTGACAAAAGTGAGATTGTTGTTACTAAGTAAAGCATTTGTGAATTTTGATGGTTCCATTAACTTTTAAATCCCACCCCCTTTTTTAAGCTCGCATCTTGTAGGAAATGAAGTAGAATTGAGTTTTTAGGACAGATCTGAAAGCAAGGAATGTGACTTGGTTAACAAGTTTGCAAAATGATTCTATGCAAAGGGGAAGATGCACAGAAGGCACAGTTTATTTAGTTGAGGGTTGGACTAGATGACCTCCTGAGGTCCCTTCCAACTCTGATATTCTATTATTCTATGACACAGAGGTGGGAATGTGAGAAAAATAAAGGTGACAGCAAGGCTGTAACCAGTGAGAGAATGGAAGTGGTGAGAAAAGAATGCAGAAGGCCTATCGCAGGGATGGGCAAACTTTTTGGCCCGAGGTCCACATCTGGGAATAGAAATTGTATGGCGTGCCATAAATGCTCACAAAATTGGGGTTGCGGTGTGGGAGAAGGTGAGGGCTCCGGCTGGAAATGCAGGCTCTGGGGTGGGGCCAGAAATGAGGAGTTCAGGGTGCGGGAGGGGGCTCTGGGTGGGGATGAGGAGTTTGGGGTGTAGGAGGGTGCTGCGGGCTGGGACCAAGGGGTTCGGAGGGCGGGAGGGGGATCAGGGGTGGGGCTTGGGGTGCGGGAAAGGGTGCAGGCTCCGGCTGGGGGTGCGGCTCTGGGATGGGGCTGGGAATGAGGGGTTTGGAGTGCAGGAGGGTGCTCTGGGCTAGGAACAAGGGGGATCAAGGCTGGGGCAGTGGGTTGGGACGTTGGGGGGGGAGGGGAAGGAGGGAGGCTCAGGGGTGCAGGCTCCGGGAAGCGCTTACCTCAAGTGGTTCACAGAAACGGCAGCCATGTCCCCCCTCTGGCTCCTACGCGGAACCACGGCCAGGCGAATCTGCACGCTGCCTCGTCCACAGGCACTGCCTTTGCAGCTCCCAGTGGCTGCAGTTCCCGGCCAATGGGAGCTGCAGGGGCCGCGTTTGGGGCTGGGGGCAGAGTGCAGAGCAGAGCCCCCTGTCTGCCCCTACATGTAGGAGCGGGACCATGCCGCTGCTTCCGGGAGCGGCCCCCGACCCTGCTCCCTGGCTGGAGCGATGGACTGGGGCCATGCCGCTCCATATCTAATGAAAAAAGTCTTCCCAAATCCCCTTCCTGAACAAGGTTTATAGCAATGAAGATCATGATATATTCTTGTTTTATATACAACTTGGTTTTTTGTTCTATTTTTTAAAAATTAGAATATTAAATTTCAGTTAGGTCCTTAGTTGTGTATTCTTTGTTCTCATTCCAATTAGTGCCATTGCTACTTTCCTATTAGTGCTTTAGTAGATTTTAAATATCAACTCTGTGCTGAGGACTCAAACATATATCTCAACTGCAGGCCCATCTGCTGTTCAGCCTGTAAACCTCTCTGGGTGTGTCTCATATATATATATTTCATCTTGGATGGTTCGCCACTCTCAGGCTCAGTATAAACCAAAACCAAGTGCATAATATTATGTCCCCAACTCTCTCCACTACCTCCATTTTGTGGTCTGACTATCCTCCCTGTTACACAGACTTAATAACCAAGGGTTGGTGGGGGGGGTGTTTTTGACTCTCTTCTCTCCTCTTTTCCCTGTGTTGGGTATGTAACCAAAGCCTATCACTTTGTCCTCTACACATTTTGAAGTCCTCAGGACAGTGTTGAAAACAGGATACTGGACTTGATGCACCAGGATGGGTTTTCTCATGTTTCCCCCTTCCTTCCAGTGCCAGTAGCCAAAATTTATTTGTCCACGCCTTAATCATCTTCCTCCTTGACTAAAGTTCCTCCAGTCTTCTAGATACTCATTGTCCCCAATTATCAAAAATCCTGGTTGTTGGTTTGATCCTCATTTCATTGTGTATCACCTCCTTTTCCTTGCTTTTAAAAATCTTACATCATTCACACCTATCTCCAGATAGGTCGGGGTGGGCAAACTATGGCCCCGCGGGCTGGATCTCGCCCACCAGCCATTTTAATCCAGCCCTTGAGCTCCTGCTGGGGAGTGGGGTCTGGGGCTTGCCCCGCTCCAGAGCTCCAGCCGGGGAGCAGGATCCGATGCTGCTCCACGCAGCTCTAGGAATGCCATATTATGTCCAATTCAGACTGTAAACTCCTGAAGGCAGAAAGCTGTACATTTTAACTGTGAAGAGCCATGAACGTATACAGCACTGTATAAATACTAGAAAACTAGAAGCAGGGGAGGCAGAGTTGAGAAATCATACGCTCTAGCTCGAGACTGAACGTCTACACTACAAATAAACAGCCCCGTAGCCCGAGTCCCATGAGCCCGAGTCAGCTGACAGAGGCCAGCAGCGGTTGTTTAATTGCAATGTAGATATTCCCTTAAGGTCTGCAGGATGAGACCTTTTTTCTGCAGACCTCAAAACAAGTCAATATCACAAAGTGAACTTTGCATGGCTCGTAAGAACCAAAGATCTCTCTAAAAATCATCATACCCCAGTGTATCTTTCTTACATTACTACGTCAGCATTAAAATGTTTGTTATCTAGCTGAAGTTTGGCAAATAGATACTAGAAGAATCTTTTAGTTGCAATGAATACCAATTTTCTAATGCTCGGTCCACTGCTCTTACTATTAGACCACACTCCTTTATTGCTTTTAGTTCCTAGTAGTATCCATCATTTCAACATAATAAAAAAAACCCTGAATTTTCAGGATCAGGAGAAACAAATTTAAAATTGAGGACAAGTTAGAATTGCAATCTGAATATTGAGAATGACTCTTCAAATGAATATTCTTAGTGATCTGAAGCCACAGATTATTAGCATACATATTAGCTGATTCAGACAGACAGACACACACTCCTCTCTCTTCCCTCCACCCCATTTCCTTACATTAACGGCTAATGCACACAGCTGGTATTGTTCTAATGTGATGATTTCATGGTAACAAGGTTCCTGTGCCAGCTTCACAATAGCACTAGCAGCAGCCAGCCTCAGACGAGACATATCGGGTTTACTGAAAAACAAGCACAGAGGTAGATGGGTTAAATTAGTGCAAGATTATTTAAGTATCTGTGTCATGGAATCAAGTTCCTCAAGTCTGAAACAATTTTTCTCCATCATGCTGAAAAATGGCTCAGGTGGAACAGTGAGGAATTTGAATGGCCTTTGCTTTCTGTACACAAAATAATTATGTAAGTAACTGAAAAGTAAAATTAGAACCTTGTAAATTAATACTTCTCATGGAATCTCTACCCATCTAGAGGTTTGCATAGTACCTCTGCTAAACCTTGTGTTATTTGCTGTATGAAAGGGATTAGTTTCCAGATTCATGACAGCATAATCACAACCTACTTAGGGTACACCTATACACTTGGGCACATTTTCCCCAAGGGAATTAATATCCTTTGTGATTTCCTCAAAGAGTTTCACATGAGGAAATGGTTCCAGTTTGCCTTATCATAACGCCTATGTATTAGCGAATGCTAGCACAATATGCATCATGTCCTCGTGTATACTAGGGCTTATGAAATCTCAGTATAATGGCTAAAGCATTCCCTCTCCTATGAAGCCAGATAAAGGGATCTGGTGAGTCAAACCAACTCTCTCTCAATGTTTTAGGAGTACCAGTAATTGATTTACATGCTCCCCTAATCAGGCATTTGCTATTTTCCAAATATGGTTGGATTTTTGGTACACTGAGTAATACTATAATGACAAAGAGATCATAAGAGTATAAAATAGTTTCAACTTATCTCTGCAAATTGGTATTGACCCAATCTGTATAAATTTATAATCAGTTTATTGCTAGCCTTCAGGGACTTTCAAAACTCTCTCTCTCTCTCTCATTTCTGGGAAATTAGCATTTCTTTTGGCCTTCTGTGCATCTAATTGTCAAAAAGAAATAGATCTCAAAGAGTCTCATGTCTCACACAGGCTCTGGCTTGGGCCTGGACTCTAGTGTTGACTGCTATAACAAGCATAGCTTTTTCCCCTGGCAACTTGTAGTAGAAAATAGATCTAATTAATGAGGGGATAAAATTTCTGATATATGAAAGATGACAAAATATTGAACGCCTTAATCTTTCTCTCAGGTATTTATGGAGCAACAGCCACCAGACTATTTTAAATCCATCTTTATCATGAAAAATATATTTAAAAGTTGGGGTGATTAGGAAGGAAAAGATTGTAACTATACTTATTAATAACCAGAACATGACAGAATACTTGGCGATTTTGAACATACTCAAATCGTCTAGTCGTGTACCGTAAAGTTTTAAGGGGGTTAGCTAACAATTTTTTTGAAGTCATGTAGAACTGGAATACTACTACAACAAAAAGGGCATGAAGAATGATTATGGAATTTTCTAGTGCACAGTGGCTTCTAACTAAAATAGAATGGAAAAAAATTGAGAGAAAAAACAAGTATGCTAATTGAGTCACATGCAATAAGTAGTATGGGTTTATAAAGAATAAATAAGTCTTGCCAGACTAGTTTGCTTTCTTTGTGGTAGAAATGTATTTGTTGGTGAAGAGAAAGGATAAGCTTAAGAACTCTTAATTTTACTCAACCATTTTACAGTATCACAAAATCTTATTTTGAAAATTAAGTCAGATTTTACATGTAAACTGGCTAAATGATTACAAAGTTCAAATTATTCATATTAAATATTATTTGTATTATAGCAGTGCACAGAAGCCAGAATAAGATCAGGGCCTAACTGTGTTAGAGATTATACAAACACATAAGAGACAGTCCCAGCCCTTAAGCGTTTATAGTCTGAATTAAAACAAGCCACAAGTGGTTGTAATAAGCAAATGAATTAAGAATGTGGGGGGGAAGGCCAGAGGGATGAGGCTAACAGCAATCACACATGGTGTATTGTATAGGAGGAGGCATTGTAAACAGAAATATGAGGATTTAAGAAAGGGGTTCTGATATAAGGCATATATTTGAAACTGCAGCAAAGTGAGACCAAATGAGTAGAAAAATTGTGGGACCGGAGTACTCAATCTTAATTTTGTGAAGTTCTGTTGTACATAATCTAAAGATGTGCCTTGAAAGCACTTGTAAAAATCAATGGCTTATAAACTTCAATGTGAACTGACATTTCCTCTCACGCCACAGACTAATAGTTAGGTATGTCAGAAAGAAATCCTCTTCTGAATGCACAGCATGTAAATGAAAGTTGTCTAACCCTCTAAATTTCTTCCAAGTCACATGGAGCGAAAGGATTCCTCTGAACAAAACAAACCCTTTGGCAATATTGGGTATCAAGCTGGAGCCCAGAGGCAGCATTATGCCTGAATCTATAAAGCAATGGCAGCCATTGAAACGGTATATTTTTCATTCATCCAACTCTTGGTTTTCCCCTGCTAGTTTCATTTTTCTGTAGGCCTTCATTCTAGATCAATGTGGATGGCATGGCCCTTCAATATTCTTTTTTCCAAAATGCAGTTTTATGAGGGGTGACTTTTGGGACTTACTGCCAGTCAGTACTTCAGTGGGGCTGGAGATCTCTTCAAATAGATTCTTGCCCTAGTATCAGTGTTCTTGCCCTAGTATCAGAATTTTAACAGCTATTTGCAGCAGCTGGTGTCCTGTGGTATTGCAATATCCTAGTGCTCTTTTCACAAATACTTAAGCAATACTGTATTTTTACATTTAATGCTTTATTTAGATCAAATAAAAACAGTATTAAAACAGCGTGGTATGGCAGCTTTAACTTAAATTGTTTTAGGTTAGCCTATTTCAATTAAGTCTCAAGCTTTTCTAAAGAAATATTTAAATTTAAAGGGTATTATCAAGGTAAATAAGCCAAAAATATTTCATCTGTACACGTGCTAACATTGTATGCATAAAGGAGTATAGTTGCTATGTAGAAGATTTACCTAGAAGCTAAAAAATAAAGCATTGAAGCCAACTATTCAAAGAAAGCAACAGAGAGTTCTGTGGCACCTTTAAGACTAACAGATGTATTGGCGCATAAGCTTTCGTGGGTGAATGCCCACTTCGTCGGATCACCCACAAAACCTTATGCTCCAATACATCTGTTAGTCTTAAAGGTGCCACTGGACTCTGTTGCTTTTTACAGATCCAGACTAACACGGCTACCCCTCTGATACTATCCAAAGAAACCGTATCTCAGAGAAATATCTTAGCAGTTGCAGTCTACTAAGTTTCTACAGCCAACTGCCCCATGGTTTAAATGGGAGGTGGCTAGTGTCAAAGTGTTTTCCATGTGGCGCTCAGACTGGAACCCAGTTCATACCTACATATGACAAAGTCTGGGCTTGGCGACTTTCAGAGGATGCTGCAAGGCACATTTCCCTATACTGTCCGTAAGTGGGGCTGTATAGGTGTATAAGTGAGAAGAGGGGGGTTAGAATCTTATTTATGGCGGATGGGAGATTCTCGAGGAGGGTGACTGAGGAGGAAACCGACCTCAGTCGCGGAGTGTGTGCATATCCTGGATGGATATTGTGAACCTGATAGCAGTGTTTGATACAGTTCAAGACCCATCTGGAGAGCTTTTGGGCTGATATATGACTGTGCCTTTAGACCTATTTGCAATGGAAAGAAAGAACTTAGGAGATTTCCTAAAAGCCTTTGTCCTGTCCAGGTAGAAGGCCAGAGCTCTCTTAACATCTAGCATGTGAAGTATGGCCTCTCTGTTATTGAGGTGAGGCTTAACATAAAATCTCGGGAGGTGAACTGGTTGGTTTATGTGAAAGGATGAGGTCACCTTGGACATGATCTTTGGGTGTGGCCTCAGAGTAACCTTGTTGTGAAAGAAGACTGTAAAAGGGGGGTGCACCCCTAAGCACTGTTATCTCCCCTATTCTCCTTGCCGAGGTGAGGGCAACTAGAAATGTGGTCTTCATTGATAGGTTTGTGAGCGAACAAGTGGCCATAGGTTCAAAGGGCAATCCAGTCAGGCTCTTTAAAATTAAGTTTAGGTCCCATGTTGGGATGGGATGTATGGGTTGGGGAAAGAGGTTCACTATACCCTTCAGGAACCTCTTTGTTTGAAGTGTGAGAAAACTGAGTATCCCTGTTTGTTGATGGAAAGTCACTAGGGACGCCAGGTTTACTTTGAATAAACTGAGAGAGAGCCCTGACTTATTGAGAGTCTGTATGTAGTTTAACACTGCAGGGAGAGTAGCACATGCCAGGGTAATTTGCCTGGATTTACACCAAACTTGAAACCTGGTCCACTTTTCTAGGTAATTACGACAGGTAGCCGATTTCCTACTGTTTATTAACACTTCCTGTACCTCCTAGAACAAGAGCTCTCTATATGTTGGAATCACGAAGGAGCCAGGCTTTGAGCCAGAGTATCCATAGGTTGGGATGGAGAGTGCGTCCTTCATTCTGCAACAGAAGGTAAGGACTGAGTTCAAGAGGGATTGTTGGACAAGCCACCAGCTGCGACAGGTACGGATATCACGTCTGTCTTGACCAGGTGAGAGAAATCAGTATGTTTGCTTTTTCTCTTTTTATTTTTAACAGGACCTTCAACAGCAGAGGGAACGGGCGAAGCCGTATAGAAAACCCTCATCCCATGGAAGGAGATCATCCCGAAACGAGTGCTGGCCAAGGCGTGTCCTGGAGCAGTAGTATGGGCATTTCTTGTTCAGGTAAGTGTCAAAAAAGTCTATCATCAGTGTCCCTCACTGACAGAATGTGCTGTGAAATACTGCTAGGCTCATTTCCCGCTCATGGTCATGTGAAAACTTGCACCTGAAACAGCCTGCTGTGTTCTGCGTTCCCGGTAGACAGGCCGCTGATATTACAAAATTGTGGGAAATGCACCAGTTCCACAGCTTTAGTGCTTTTGCGCAGAGGGCAGATGATCTGGCATCCCACTGGATGATTTATGCAGTACATGCACGCAATGTTGTCTGTCACGACTTTCATATGTGTACCTCTGATAGGTGGAAGAAAGCGAGCACAAGCATTCCTGACTGCTCTGAGTTCAAGAAGGTTGATGTAGAGAGTCGCCTCTGTGGGTG